ACAGTAGCCCTAATTTTAACATTTCTGCTGGAAGTAGGGTGCAGAAGAATATCGGCTCTAAGACTGTGGCTGTCCATGTGGCAGCTGTTTGATCAGGATGCAGGAAGCGCTGCTTGACACTGCAGGAAGTGCTGCTTGACAGAGCTTCACGATGCTTTCTGAGGCTCCATCTGCAGACGTTGTGTTGGATAAGACCCAGGGAGATCCCGCAGAAAGCACAGGCAGGAGAGAAAAAGAGGAAGCTTTGGACAGATCATCAGGCTAAAGCCACAGCTAAGAAAGTGACCATTTCAGGAAGGACTTTTAATGTCTTCTGCTGGCCTACCAATGACCTTCAAGCTCAAGGAGAAAATAATGCTATTAAGAAATTAGCTGGGTGAGTTCTAGGAAATTTTAAAAATTAGCTGAGAATGGAGAAAAGGTTATGAATTCCTTTTTGTTTTTGTTTGTTTGTTCATTGTTTGAGACTGAGTCTTGCTCTGTCGCCCAGTCTAGAGTGCAGTGGTGCGATTTTGACTCACTGCAACCTCCACCTCCGGGGTTCAAGTGATTCTCCTGCTTCAGCCTCCCGAGTAGGTGGGATTACAGGCCACCGTGCCCAGCTAATTTTTGTATTTTTAGTAGAGATGGGGTTTCACCATACTGGCCAGGCTGGTCTCGAACTCTTGACCTCATGATCTACCCACCTCGGCCTCCTAAAACCCTGGGATTACAGGTGTGAGCCACCGTGCCTGGCCAGGCTATGAATTCTTAAAAAAAGAAGGCAAAGGATCTAGATTTTGTTTTTAAAGGATTTTCACTGCTAGGACTAAAGCAGAAGTTTTTTTTTAAGACAAGGCAATCTCTTCTTGGTATCATCTATCTACCAAAGACATCAAAGTTAGTAGTCCAACAAAAACCATCCTAATAATTTTATCTGTTCTGTAAATGGATGTATCCCCACTCAATACCTAGAATATTATCTGGGTATAGCAGGTGCTGAGTAACTATCTGTTCTACTAATTAATGCTATTTTTCAAAAACACCAGCTCTACAGACCTAAAACAACCAAGAGATCCCTATATCTGCTCAGCAGTTACCTGGTTGACAATTTAACAAAAGCCAAGAAAGAAACTGCAGCCAGAACGCTAATAAGGAAGCATTCTAGTGTGCAAAGGCTATTCATGATATAAGCATGTTACACTAATAATATTCCTTACATTCATAAATATAAGGATAAGAGAATGGGCCCCGAGGTCAGACTGCTCTAGTTTAAACCCTAGCACAAACCCCATGACCTTAAATAAGGTACTCAACTTCTCTGAATCTGTTTTCACAACTAAAACCAAAAAAGACAGGTAATAACAGTATTCCCTTCTTGAAATTGTTGAAAGGAGGAAATGAGATATGCATAGTTCCTGGAACACAGAAGTGCCTAATAAATACTAGTAATCATTCATTTTTATTTTGTATATACCCACAGTCATATCTATGGGAAGAATATAGGATCATATATTCACTTCTCCTGACCAAAAGAAATGGCCTTAAATAAGGACTAGGCAACAAAATGCATTCTTTCTCCTGAGGGATAAATAAAAAAATTAAAAATAGCTATTAACACCATTTTTTTTTTTGAGACGGAGTCTCGCTCTTCACCCAGGCTGGAGTGCAGTGACACAATCTTGGCTCATTGCAACCTCCGCCTCCCAGGTTCAAGTGATTCTCCTGCCTCAGCACCCCCAAGTAGCTGGGACTACAGGTGCGCACCACCACACACAGCTAATATTTGTATTTTTAGTAGAGATAGGGTTTCACCATATTGGCCAGGCTGGTCTTGAACTCCTGACCTCATGATATGCCCACCTCGCTTCCCAAAGTGCTGGGATTACAGGTGTAAGCCACTGCACCTGGCCACGCCACATTTGTTTTTACTCTTCTCAATCTTTATCTCTCTTGGCTTTTCTTCCCACATCTGTATAAAACTTTTCCTGAGCTCCTGTGATCCTGGTTTAATACAGCACTGCTGGCTATTAGGAGACAGTTTTTATCTCTGTTCTGCAACAACACTGTGTCCATGCGCAAGACATTAAACTTTACAGGGCCTCAGTTTCCACATCTGTATAATGGAGGAAAAGTATAATGGAGGTATAAAGTATATTATCTTTAAATTCTCTTCCAAAGCTAAAAATCCACAAGCAAGGACTTGTTAACTATTATTAGTTCATTCAGGTCAAACACTGATCTAAACTCTTAGAAAGTACATTTTAACCCTATTTGGAATACTCACAAAATGGGTACAAGTATAGCTACCCTCCGAAAGCTAAATTTTGCCTGGTCAGTTTCAGAGGTCTAATTTAAAATGACATTGTGAGATAACAACTGACATGGAAAGATGTTTACAATATATATTTTTGGTGAAAAAAGGCAGATTACAAAATATGATCAGCAATATTAATCCCAATTTGGTTTAAATATATATATATATATATATATACACATACCTACACATATATCTGCTTGAGATGTACAGAATACACTCCAAGTTGTTTATGTTTATAATTTTTCTTTAAAAAATGTTTTTGTTGGCTGGATATGGTGGCTCATGACTGTAATCCCAGCACTTTGGGAGGCTGAGGTGGATGGATCACAAGGTCAGGAGTTCGAGACCAGCCTAGCCAATATGCTGAAACCCTGTCTCTACTAAAAATACAAAAATTAGCTGGGCATGGTAGCAGGTGTCTGTAGTCCCAGTACTTAGGAGGCTGAGGCAGGAGAATTGCTTGAACCTGAGTGGCAGACGTTGCAGTGAGTCAAGATTGTGCCATTGTACTCCAGTCTGGGTGACAGAGTGAGACTTGGTCTCCAAAAAAAAAGAAAAAGAAAAAAGAAAAGTTTTTATTTATCTATACCTTATTTTTCTACAAAGAATGCTTACAGCTTCTGGGATAATAACTCAAACAGATGTTTTACTTAACAAGAAAGATGGATTTGGTACCTAAACTATAACCACATCCCTCCCTAGAGCAGAGCTCAGCACCCAGCAGGTCCCCTCACAGAGGCACCAACAACCTTTGCACCCTGTGTCTGGGGCTGGGCTGGGGTTGGGGGTGCTGTGATGTTTTTAGGTATCAGCCATTAGATACCATCAAGATAGCCCCAGATCCCTCCCTCCTGTTCATCTCAACTTTCAGAGCCATCAGCTGCCCACTTAACTCGCGTTACCAATTTGTAACCCTCTGAGTAGAGTTTTCAAAGCATGATCAAAGCTCCTAAATTATGGTTCAAGGTTTTAACTGTCACATTCACTGATTTAGAATAATCAAGGATAGAAGAAGCCATTTCACTCTGGCAGCAATCCAATTTTAAAAGTCAGAGTTAACTACTAGTCCTCATTTTACGCTGTCCGATGCCAGTCCTTTCTGATCACAAGGAAAAAAAGTAAAGCTCATCATGTTTAAAAGCATGATCTTAAAATACCTTAACCAGTTAGGCACTTTTGTTTCTAACACAAAGTGCTGACTCTTGACAGATTCTCTGGCATACTGAAAGCCACCACTGCTGAACCTATCTGATCAACCAAGAACAAGCTTATCACCAGATACAGGTATCATTACATCATAAGGTGTAAAGGTTGTTCTGGCAGCTCAGTCATCCACCAACAAACAGGTGTCTAAGAAACTGAGATTTCCCAATTACCAAAACCCATACAAAAAAATAAGCAACAGCATGACATACACCAGGGCACTTCACAGAAATGCAACATAAGGGAAAACAGGGTAGAAACAGGAGAGGACAACTCAGAAACGTCCTGAGGAACTCCTCCCACTGGGTAAGCCAAAGAGTAAGTTACCAGACCCAGGGCTCTCAGAAGCACATAAGTTATGCCTCAATGCTGCTCATCTGCATTTTACATAGTATGATTACTTGGTAAAACCTATATACCTAAAAATACATTGCTTTCTCACCCTTTCCTACTCTTACCTTTTTTTATTTTTTTTGAGACAGAGTCTTGCCCAGGCTAGAGTGCAGTGGCATGATCTTGATTCACTGCAACCTCCACCTCCCAGTGCAAGCAATTCTCCTGCCTCAGTCTCCTGAGTAGCTGGGACTACAGGCTCTCGTCACCATACACGGCTAACTTTTGTATTTTTGTATTTTTAGTAGAGACAGGGTTTCTCTAGGATGGTCTCGATTTCTTCACCTTGTTATCCACCCGCCTCGGACTCCCAAAGTGCTAGGATAACAGGCGTGAGCCACACGCCCAGCCTTACCTTTATCTTTTAAAAAGCATCCACAATTTAAGTCAGAGCCTTATCCTCTGTTACATATCATGTTTAGAGTCAGACTACAACAAAGAGGCTTAGTGTCTGCACAGCATTATTTTAATGCAAGAAAACAAAACTGCCAACTATAAGGACCCGAAAAATGTGACTACTGCAGGATTATTTTGGGGATGAACCACACCCCTTCCCTAATTATCCCTCAAAGGAAATATATCAGGCACTGTGGGCAAAGAGAGAAACATGTCTAATTACAACATGTACATTTGGTGGATGAAGAATTTGAACGTTCTTGAACTCAGGCCACATTTCAGAAGACTTTCCACTTGTAATTAATTTCACTGAAGAGAAAAGTTTAAAGATCAGTTGCACTTCAACCAGGGCGCTATCAAAAAAAGACACAAAGAATACCCGACAAGCACAGGCAACCGAAGCAAACATGGACAAACAGGATCACATCAAGTTAAAAAGCTTCTGCACAGCAAAGGAAACTATCAACAAAATGAAGAGACAATCCACTAAATGGGAGAAAATATTTACATATTTTAGGGGATTCATAACAAGAATATGTAAGAAGCTCAAACAACTCAATAGGAAAAAAATCTAATAATCCAATTTAAAATGGACAAAAGATATGAATACACATTTCTCAAAAGAAGATATACAAATGGCAAGAAAAAAAGTATATGAAAATGTGCTTAACATCACTGATCAGAGAAACACAAATCAAAACTACAGTGGCTGCTCGCTTCAGCATCACATATACTAAAATTGGAACAATATAGAGATTAGCATGGCCCCTGTGCAAAGATGACATGCAAATTCCTGAAGCATTTCATATTTTAAAAAAATCTTTAAATATTAAAAATATTACGAGATATCATCTCATCCCAGTTAAAATGGCTTATATCCAAAAGATAAGCAATAACAAATACTGGTAAGGATGTGGACAAAAGGGAACCCTCATACACTGTTGGTGGGAATGTAAATCAGTACAACCACTGTGGAGAACAGCATGGAGGTTTCTCAAAAACTAAAAATAGAGCTACCATATGATCCAGCAAGCCCACTGCTAGGTATATACCTAAAAGAAAGGAAATCAGGGCCAGGTGCGGTGGCTTATGCCTACAATCCCAGCACTTTGGGAGTCTGAGGCTGGAGGACTGCTTGAGCCCAGGAATTTGAGAGCACCCTAGGGAACACAGCAAGACATCATCTCTACTAAAAATTTTAAAATTAGCCAGGTGCTCTGGCATGCACCTGTAGTCCAGCTACTTGGGAAAATCGCTTGAGTACAGGAAGTGGAGCCTACAGCAAGCTATGATCACGCCACTGTACTTCAACCTGAGCAACAAAGCAAGACCCTGTCTCTAAAAAAGGAAGAAAGAAAGAAAGGAAATCAGTATATGGAAGAGAAATCTGCACTCCCATGTTTATTACAACACTACTCACCATAAATAGATTTGGAAACAACCTAAGTGTCCATCATTGACAGATGAATGATTAAGAAAATGTGGTACATAGACACAAGGGAGTACTATTCAGCCATAAAGAGGAATAAGATCTTGTCATTTGCAACAGTGAATAGAACTGGAGGTCATTATGTTAAGTGAACTATGCCAGGCATGGAAGGATAAACTTCGCATGTCCTCATTTATTTGTGGAAGCTAGAAATTAAAACAATTCGCCAGGTGCAGTGGCTCACACCTGTAATCCCAGCACTTTGGGAGGCTGAGGTGGGTGGATCACCTGAGGTAGGGAGTTCAAGACCAGCCTGATCAATCCCCATCTCTACCAAAAATAAAAAATTAGCTGGGCACAGTGGTACAGGCCTGTAATCCCATCCCAGCTACTTGGGAGGCTGAGGCAGGAGAATCTCTTGAACCTGGGAAGTGGAGGTTGCGGTGAGCTGAGATCACACCATTGCACTCCAGCTTGGGCAACAAGACCAAAACTCTGTACTCAGTCTATAAAAAAAATTGAACTCATGGAGACAGAGAACAGAATGATGATTACCAAAAGCTGGGAAGAATAGCAGGAGAAAGGGAAGTGGGGATGTTTAACACGTACAAAAAATACGGTTAGACAGAGTAAGATCTAGTATGTGATAGCACAACAGGACGACTACAGTCAATAATAAGAGTATAATTGGATAGTGTGCAACACAAAGGAAGGATAAATGTTTGTGGTGATGGATATCCCCACTCATGCTTTGTATGCCTTTAATCCAAATATTTTTTTTCATTCTTTAAGATGGAGTCTCACTCTGTCACTCAAGCTGGAGTGCAGTGGCGCAATCTCAGCTCACTGCAGCCTCCACCTCCCGGGTTCAAACACTTCTCCTGCCTGGGCCTCCCTAGTAGCTGGGATTACAGATGTACACCACTACACCTGGCTAATTTTGGGGTTTTGCCATGTTGGCCAGGCTGGTCTGGAAACTCCTGACCTCAGGTGATCCACCTACCTCAGCCTCCCAAAGTGCTAGGATTGCAGGTGTCAGCCACCATATCCAGACCAAATATTTCATGTATCCCATTAAATATATACACCTATTACACCCCCAAAATTTTTCTTTAAAAATTTCAATGTTTTTAAAAGGCACAAAGAGAAACTGACTATATTACTTACACGTGATACTACAAGGGAAGCCTGCTGAAAATTTAAGACTACCCTGACTCCACATCAAGTGCTAACAGGAAATAGTTTGTATTTTAATACTAGGACTAAAAATAAGACCGATTTTAAGAGCACTCTCCCGAGAAAACACACATATCTTGAATTTAAAGATACATATGCAAATGCCTCAGGCCCCAGGTGGTCTCACAGAAGCAGTCCCTGATCATCTCTCTCATCCACAGCCCACGTGCTTCTGCACGACAGAGGTGGGAAGACATCCGCAACAAATTTGGCGCTGCTTCTGCACTTCTGCTGGAGAGAAGGGCAGAAATGAACCTTCACAAATCCAAAATGAGAAGGCATCTCACTAGGCATTTGGATTAAGAACTATTGCTCAAGAAGCCCTGAGCAAGGCCTACAAGTTCTGATCTCTCTAACCTCCTCTCCTTGTCCATGGGGCCTGTGGCATGCTGGCTTCCAACCCTTCAGACCTACATACTCCCACCTCTCGACCTTTGCTGGGGGCTGTTCCCTCTACCTGGACGCTCTTCTCTCAGACTCCTCATATCTTCAAGTCTCAGCTCAAATGCCACCTTTGCGAAGAGGAAAAAGATGGCTTTTCTTTTCCCATGATATTTATCACCTCCTACTACATCGTATAATTTACTTAAATATCTACAATTGGCCATATTTCTCCTCTCCCCCTCAAATAAGCTTCAAGAGAGTCGAGTTCTCCGTCCTGTTCACTGTTGTCTATCACAAGCATTTAGAACAGTGCCTGACACACATAGTAGGAGCTCAGTATTTTCTGAATGAATGAACAAACTTCTTGACATGAAGATTCAGAACACTAAGAAGTGGGTGGAAAGGACGATGGTGAAGGGATGAGGAGAAAGAAGCGACAGAAGAGAATTCCCAAGGGAGAGGTCCAGAGACTGGCTGAGGCCGGGCCGACCCCCGTTTCTCCTCTCAGCGCTGATGGGAGGTGGACGTAGGTGCAGGGCATCCCGCCAGTGGCATCGGAGGCACTCACAGGCAGGGAGCGGAGGCCGGCGAGCTCCTGGGCTCACTGAGAATGTCCAGCGGCAGGACAGACCCACGCGGGTTCCGGTCAGGCCCCCTTGGGAGCCCGGACCCCCGTCCCTTCCCCTCCCAGCAGTGCCCACAACCCCAGTTCCTCTCCAGAATCCCCAGAGGAGTCCCGCGCCGCAATCCCTTCTCGGCTCGGGCCCCTCCACCAGCCGCCAGCGACCGGGCCCTGCGCTCGGGCACCTGCCTGGCCGCGCCGCGGTCCCCACCCAGGCCGGCGAGGAGGCCCCAGCGCGCCCCTGCGGCCTCAGCCCGCTTAGCTGCCCCGTCGCCCGGCACAAGGGGCAGGAAGCGATCCGCGGCACTCCCCATCGCCGGGAAGGGGCTCCCGGCGCCCCATGCCCGGGCCGCCCCAGCCCGACGCCCCGCCTGCGCGGCGCCCCCTCACCTCAGGGCGTACGTACGACACGAAGGAGGGCTTGGGCGCCTTGGTGCCGCCGCCACTACCGACTACCCCTTTCCCCAGCATACCGCCGCCTTGGGAAGCAGCGACGCGCGGGCGCAGAGGCGGCGGCTCGGGCTCTGGCTGGGGCAGCAGCGGCGGCCACCAGCACTAGCGGCTGGGGCTCCGCCCATCCCCAGGGCCGCTGCCGCCGCGGTGCCGCCCGCATCCGGCTCCGCGGCCGACACCGCTCGCCCCGCCCAGGCTCCTGGGCCCCGCCCACCCCGCGCGCGGCCCTGCGAGCCTGGAGCCTGCCAGCGGAGGCCACGCCCCCCATACGGCGGAGGGTCTGACTCGCCGAGATTCACCACCTTCCTGCGGCACAGCCCGCCCTCATGCTTTCTCTGATTGGCCAGAGGCGTTGCCGGCTGAACCCCTTCTTGAACGAACCTGGAGAGATGTTTCCTCTAACCAATCCAGACAGCGTTCTCTCCGGACTTTTCGACGATTGGATGGATGTCACCGTCGTCCAATGATCCTGCAGTCACCAAGTTGTCGTGAGCTGTGGTTCACCGCAGTCATTTTCTTCCTTTTGCTTGTGTCTTTGGAATAAAACGTCCAAAAGCGGGATGTATGGAATCTCGCTATAGGAGTTCCAAATTTACATCGATGACGTTCAAGGTATTTTATTTTATTTTATTTTATTATGTACTTTTGAGACGGAGTTTTGTTCTTGTCGCCGAGGCTGGAGTGCAATGGCATAGGCTAGGCTCACTGCAGCCTCCGCCTCCTGGGTTCAAGTGATTCTCCTGCCCCAGTCTTCCGAATAGCTGAGACTACAGGCGCGTACCAGCACACATGGCTAATATTGTTTTTGTTGTTGTTGTTTTGTTTTTTGAGACGGAGTTTCGCTCTTGGTACCCAGGCTGGAGTGCAATGGCGCGATTTCGGCTCACCGCAACCTCCGCCTCCTGGGTTCAAGCAATTCTCCTGCCTCAGCCTCCCGAGTAGCTGGGATTACAGGCGCACACCACCATGCCCAGCTAATTTTTGTATTTTTAGTACAGACGGAATTTCTCCATGTCGACCAGGCTGGTCTCCAACTCCTGGCCTCAAGAGATCCACCTGCCTGGGCCTCCCAAAGTGCTGGGATTAGAGGCATGAGTCATCCGTTTTTCTCACTTTTGTTTACATTTAAAATAATAAACCTTGAGGTTGAGTGCGGTGGCTCACGCCTGTAATCTCAGCACTTTGGGAGACCCAGGCAGGTGGATCTCTTGAGGCCAGGAGTTGGAGACCAGCCTGGTCGACATGGAGAAATTCCGTCTGTACTAAAAATACAAAAATTAGCCGGGCGTATTGGCAGGCGCCTTTAGCTACTTCGGAGGCTGAGGCACGAGAATCGCTCGAACCGAGGTTGCAGGGAGCCAGGATCTGGCCACTGCACTCCAGCCTGGGCGACATCACAAACCTGTCTCAAAAAGAAAAGAAAAATGTGGGGAGACAAATCAAGTGTTAACAAGGCAGTAAGGAGTAAGTTTGAGTGTTTGATAATAAAAGACTTTGTCAACTTCATTTTTCCAAATTTTTCCGCTTCTTTGTGTTTCCAACAGGAAGAATATCAAGAGCCTGTAAGAGGCTTATTTTTAACTCTACAAAGTTATTGATAAAACCCTCATTTTTTAGCCAATATTGCAAAGAAGAAAATTCATTTCAATCTTACATTTGGTGCCAAGCATTGTTAGATGCAGATAAATAAGAACAAATCCAGATCTTAAGAAATTCAATCTAGTGGAAAAAACTGATAAATATATGCAGTTAACTGTTTAGGTGTTAGGCACCGTGCTAAGTACTCTCATCAGTAACCTTGATTTTTACTCTCTTAATATCCATTTGCTTCCCATTCCCAAATACACTGCAAGTAAATATAAAATCTTAGTGAAAACAAATGTGCTTGCTTTTGCAAAGTTTCAACACAAGTCCTGCAGAGTTGTTTCCAGCCAGACTGCCACTTATAAGCCTATTTGGTATAGCTGTGCTTCAGCCGCCACTGAGTTTCCTTAGCTCTGTTTCCAGGTGACAAAACAGAGATGCAAGTAATTTGGCCAGGTCTCACAACTAATCACTGAGAGAGCTGGGATTCCAACCCAGGTTAATCTCATTTGAAATTCCAAGTTCTTAACATTATAATTATACAAATTAGGAGCACAATGAAAGTGTGGTCCATTCTATTGGGGAAGTTCAAGTTGAAGCCATCCTTACAAGGTTCAGAAGAATTCTGCACAGAAATAAAGTTATAACCAAGCATTAATCAGGCTGCAGTTTGACCTGCTTCTTTGTGTTAATAACTCAACGTCTGTCAGGTAACACTAGGTGTTGACCATTTGCATCCCTGTTGTTTCGATGGGTAGGATTTCTGGCTCTGGAATCATAAGGGTTTTGTTTAAGAACTGCTTAGGCAGATCCTAAGTTCCAGCAGAACAGCCAACATCAACCAGTTTAAAGACCACCCTCCCCAACACGCACACGCACACGCACACGCACACGCACACACACCCAAACCGAATCAGCATGAGAATACAATTTCTTCATCTCTCTGTCTCATGACTTCACCCTGCACTTTTCAACCAATCAATGATCTCCAACTTTGGTTCACTTAAAAACCCTAGCCCCAGGCAGGGTGCAGTAGCTCACACCTGTAATCCTAGCACTTTTAGAGGCTAAAGTAGGAAACTCACTTGAGTTCAGGAGTTCAAGACCAGCCCAGACAACATAATGAGGCCCTCTCTACAAAACATTAAAAAATGAGCCCAGCATAATGGTATAAGCCTGTAGTCCAAGGTACTCAGAAGGTTGAGGTGGAAAGATTGCTTGAGCCCAGGAGTTTGAGGTTACAGTGAGCTGATACATCACTGCACTCTAGCCTCGGTGATAAAGCAAAATTATGTCTCAAAAAAAAAAAAAAAAAAAACCCTAGCCTCAAACTCCTCAACTCCTTGGGGAGATGAATTTGAGGTTTCCTCCAGTCTCCTTACCCAGCAGTTCTACAATTACACCTTTTTCACAGCTGTAACCTGGTGTCTTGGTGTATTGACTTGTCCAGTGCATTGGGCAACAAACCTCTTATGGTTACTGAGTAAGGCTTCATAAAGAAAGATATTCCTGGCTGGGCACAATGGCTCATGCCTGTAATCCTAGTACTTTGGGAGGCCAAGGTAGGTGGATCACAAAGTCAGGAGTTCAAGACCAGCCTGGCAAAGATGGTGAAACCCTGTCTCTACTAAAAATACAAAAATTAGCCAGGCATGGTGGCAGGTGCCTGTAGTCCTAGCTACTTGGGAGGCTGAGACAGGAGAATCACTTGAACCTGGTAGGTGGAGGTTGCAGTGAGCCTAGACTGTGCCATTGCACTCCAGCTTAGGTGACAGAGCAAAACTCCATCTCAAAAAAAAAAAAAAAAAATGAAGGAAAGAAAGAAAGAAATTCCTCATGGGGATGTTAGAGAATAAATTTATTTGTCAAGACTAATATCACTTTATATTTTGCAGTTTTCACTTTTTGAAGTAGAATGGCAGTGCAGATTTTTAGAGACTGAGCAATTGTTCCCTTTCTCACTTTTCAAAGTACACTGAATTTCCATGACTTTTCACCATAGTTACTAATAAATGTGAATATGTCCAAGGCTGGCTTCTTTGGACATGAAACTAGTGCAGTCACACAGAATCTCACACTTAAAAAGCCTTGGAAGCTGGGTGCAGTGGGATTACACCTGTGATCCCAGCACTTTGGGAGGCCAAGGCAGGCAGATAACTTGAGTCCAGGAGTTTGAGACCAGACTGGGCAACTTAGGGTGACTTGGTCTCTAACAACAATACAAAGAATTAGCCTGGCATGGTGGTGTGCACCTGTAGTCCCAGCTACTTAAGTGGCTGAGGTAGAAGGATTGCTTGAGCCCTGGAAGCAGCAATGAGCCATGGTTGGAGTCACTCCAGCCCGGATGACAGAGCAAGACCCTGTCTCAAAAAAAAAAAAAAAAAAGAGGGCTTGGGGTTTAATCCTTTGTGGTTTTGGCTTTGAGGTTTTTTATTTTTTTGAAATGAAGTTTCACTCTGCTGCCCAGGCTGGAGTGCAGTGGTGCCATCTCAGCTCACTGCAACCTCTGCCGCCCTGGTTCAAGTGATTCTCCTGCCTCAGCCTCCTGAGTAGTTGGGATTACAGGCCCCTGCCACTGCACTTGGCTAATTTTTGTATTTTTAGTTGAGACAGGGTTTCACCATCTTGGCCAGGCTGGTCTTGAACTCCTGACCTCGTGATCTACCCACCTTGGCCTCCCAAAGTGCTGGGATTACAGGCGTGAACCACCGCACCTGGCCGGCTTTGAGCTTCTTAATAACTTTATCGTTGAGTTTGTGTTTTAAGTGAAGGTTAATGATTGATGGGTGATGGAGCACACACAAGGGGTCTTGGCGCCTCAGCTCATGCACAGTCCTACCTCCCAGCCCCTCCTCCTTCCTCTTGGGTGCCTGCTATCCCATGGCACTGTGGCTCTCCCTAACCAACTCCACAACTGCTGCCCACTTCTGCCCAGGGCAGCAACCAGGTCTCATTGCCCAGGGGTGTGGGAGGATGGAGTCTCCTGTCCCGCTGTCACCATCCACCCTCCCAGTGGGTGCCTGGGCACTGTCTCGCACAGGATCAGGGTGAGGCACAGCTCTCTGACACTCTCTGGTGTCTCCAGGTTAAGGTGGTGGCTATCCTTGCCCTAGGTTGGCAGTGCCTCAGCCACCGGCAGGGACTTCCACCCACCCCTGTCCAGGTAACAAATATGGCCTGGGTGGCAGAGGTGGCCATTCCTTAGGGGTCACCCATGCACTATGAGAAGGGGAGTTAACTTCCCCACCCCCTGGCTGGGGCCCCACATTCTCATTTTGTGCTTGGCCCTGCAAATGATGCAGCCAGCCCAGGCTATTCCCTTTCTTATCTCTGTGTCCTTGGACAAAGCACTTCCTCTCTCTGTGTCTCTGTTTTCTCACCTTAAAATGAGGGTGACAACAACAATAATAACTACTTCAAGGTGGTTAGGGGACTGTATTAGGTACTCTAGAGGGACAGAACTAATGGAGTAGATATATACATAAAGGGGAGTTGATTAAGTATTAACTCACATAATCACAAGGTCCCATAATAGGCTGTGTTCAGGCTGAGGAGCAAAGAGAGCAAATCCAAGTTCCAAAACTGGAGAACTTGGAGTCCCATGTTTGAGGGCAGGAAGCATCCAGCCCGGGAGAAAGATGTGAGCTGGGAGGCTAGGCCAGTCTCTCTTTTCACATTTTTCTGACTGCTTATATTCTAGCAGCACTGGCAACCAATTAGATTTCACCCTTCCAGCATCCAGATTAAGGGTGAGTCTCCTTTCCCAGCCCACTGACTCAAATGTGAATCTCCTTTGGCAGCACCCTCACAGACACACCCAGGATCAATACTCTGTATCCTTCAATTCAGTCACGTTGACACTCAGTATTCACCATCACAGGGACTGTTCAGAAGATTAAACAAGTTGATTCAGGTGATGTCTGGTACACAGCAAGAACTAAATAGGTGATGGCTATCCTCTGTACGATCTCACCAAGTAGATCATAACTTACTCAGTTTCAGGGATCATAGAAGGAAAAGCAAAGTGACTCCTTCCTGCTAATTTACCGTGGGACTTCGTTAAAGAAAGAAGTCAATCACTGAGACAATGAGTATTGCCAGGGAAGATGGCTTTTCAGGTGCTGCAGCCGAGGAGATAGTAGATCAGTCTCAAATCCATGTCCCTGACCAACTAAAACTAGGGGCTTATATAGTGGGGAAAAAATGTGACCATGTGTGGGAAAACAGAAATTAGGGAGGGAAAAGAAAGAGAAGTTGGTCAATAGGAAGCAAGTGGTCCATTAAGCAATCCTGATAGGTGAGGGGTTTGACATCTCATTGTCCAGATGTGGTGATCTGGTAAGTTTCAATTCCTTGTTACTATCTGGGAGGACTGATGGTTGGTTTCCTGAGAAAGGATAAGATAAATGTAACTTTCTCAAGTTTTTTTTTTTTTGTCTCTTTTCGTTTTTCTGAGGAGTGATTTACTTCATATTATGTGATCAATTTTAGAGAGGATGTGGCCTTGCTGTGGCTCAGTCCTGTAATCCCAGCACTTTGGGAGGCCAAGGCAGGCAGATCCTTTGAGCCCAGAAGTTCAAGACCAGCCTGAACAACATGGTGCAACCCCCTTCTCTAGAAAAATACAAAAATTAGCCAGGAGTGGTGGAATGCATCTGTATTCCCAGCTACTCTAGAGGCTGAGGTGGGAGGATCGCTTGAGCCTGGGAGATCAAGGCTGCAGTGAGCCATGATCATGTTACTGCACTTCAGCCTTCAGTCTGGGCAACACAGAGAGAGATACCATGTCTCAAAAAGAAAAAGAAAAAAGACAGAGAGCATCAATTTCTATGTTTATTCAAAGAAACCATAAACATCGGTTCTATAGGACAATTGGGCCAGTTTCAGAAGCAGAGCGGCCCTTACCAGACACCAAATCTACTGGTGCCTTGATCTTGGAGTTTCAGCCTCCAGAATAGTGAGAAATAAGTTTCTAATATCTATAAATTCCCAGTTGACGGCATTTTGGTAGAGCAGCAGGAATGGACTAAGGCATGCTGGTGAGGGCTCCATCTCTCGGCTTGTGCCCACCGACCTAGGTGAGGACAGGTATTTCTGTTTTTGTGCCCAAATGTTGCATTTCTCAAGACCGCCCTGGCCCACCACGCCCCCATCCTGTGCCTGTAAAAACCCAAGACACTAGTGAGCATGCACATAAAGTGGCTGGACATGGAGAGGGAGGAGCACACCAGTGGACAAAGACACAAGTGGCTGGATGTTGAGAGGAATGCACCATTGTAAGAGCACACTGACGCAGGCAAGCTGGCAGGCCATCAAGCAGCAGAACGACACGGGGCGGGGGGGGGGGGGGGGGGGGCGTGTCAGAGGAGAGCCCAGGCCACTGAACAGACTGACTCCAGGGAAACCACCTTCCCACTCCATCCCTTTCTGGCTCCCCCATCTTCTGAGAGCTACTTCCACTCAATAAAACCTTGTGCTCAATCTCCAAGCCTACATGTGATCTGATTCTAATGGTACACCAAGGCAAGAAACCCAGGGATACAGAAAGCCCTCTGTCCTTGCGATAAGGCAAGGGGTCTAATTGAGCTGACTAGCACAAGCCACTTATGGACGACTAAATTAAATGAGCACCCACTCATTTAATTAATGAACACATGCCCACTGCAGCTTCAGGATCTGAAAGCATTCACCCCTAGGCACTGTCCTGGCGTTGGAGCCCCACAGCCTTTCTGTCTGCATGCTCCCCCTAGGGGTTTGAGCAGTGGGACACTTAAGAGATGAGCCACACCCCCATCGCACGCCCTCTGAGGGAGACAAGGGAACTTTTATCATTTCACTTCCAGAATCAGTTTTGATGCAGTGATGAAAACCCATGTTTTTCGTTTCTTTCTTTTTTTGAGATGGAGTCTTGCTCTGTCACCCAGGCGGGAGTGCAGCAGCATGATCTTGGCTCACTACTACTTCTGTTTCCTGGGATTAAGCAATTCCCCTGCCTCAGCCTCCTAAGTAGGTGGGATTACAGGCATGTGTCACCATGCCCTCCCCCCCATAATTTTTGTATTTATAGTAGAGATGGGGTTTCATCACATTGTCCAGGATGGTCTTGAACTCCTGACCTCAAGTGATCCACCCGTTTCAGCCTCCCAAGGTGCTGCGATTAGAGGCATGAGCCACTGCGCCTGGCTCCCCCACTTTCTTTAAAGAGCAGAAAGTGAATGAGTACAGAGGACAAGCTAAAAATCTCCTTCCATCTTGCTTTTTAAAAAGTTAATTAATGTATTTGCTTATGCATATTTTTTTCTATCTGGCTTTTAAGGTTCTCTAGCTATCAGCATATTTTTACTTTGTTGTTAGGGTGTGAGGTCAAATCTCCTTTGGGAGAGTCTCCCAACTGATTGACACATTCCTGTATGCTGAGGTCAAATAATTTTCCATCTATTCATAAACACAGATGGAAGCCCCTAGACTTTGAAATATTTTACTTTACACAAAATACTTCATGAACATTTCTTTCTCCTAATGCTTCCCTAAGCTTTCTTGGAGAATTATAAATAGGAACAAATCTTAGCTCACGTAGAAATGTATGCCAGACCAAGCGCAATCCCATTTCTTCCCACAGACAGCTGAAACTGATAGGCAGCAGCACGCTCCCAGCTGGCAGGGAGCATTTTACTGTGGCAGGTGGTTGAAGCCTACCCAGTTGCATTTCCTCCTCTTGGGAGTCACTTGAAGCAGCCTATTTATGTGTCTTACTCATATATATCTAACAGGTGCCTAGCACATAGCAGGAATTTAAAAACTATTTTCACCTGAGTGAGTGAAATGGCATTCATAAGCTGAAAAGCAGAGAGGGCAGTGACTGACTCAGCACAGAAGCAAGAATTAAAGCTCTAGCACTCTGGTTAGACCTGCAGTTTTCTTTTCCTTTAATTTTTATAGATACAGAGTTTCAACATGTTGGCCAGGCTGGTCTTGAACTCCTTGGCTCAAGCAATCTGCTGTCCTTGGCCTCCCAAAGTATTGAGATCACAGGAATGAGACACCACGCCAGGCCTCCTGCCTGCACTTTTAAGTGGATAGAAACTAGGACCTGTTTTTATGTATATATAATTTGTATATATATATTCAAGGGCTAAAATGCCTCTTGCCAAAATTCACCTTTAGCAAATGGTCTGGTGTCTGCAGACTTCCCTCTTCTTTCACTGGAACTGGAAAGTTCCTTAACCTCTTACAACAACAAAGGGTCTTTCAGCCTTCCTCTGAAGATGGTGAGGAGCAGACCTGGATTGAAAAGTATTTGGATTGTTCTTAATCTTGTGGTGTTGTAATATGAGGGCCTGCTGGGGAGGCTTTGTGATGATTTATTTATTTTCGTTTTTATTTATTTATTTATTTGAGACAAAATCTAGTTCTTGACCCCCAGGCTAGAGTGTAATGCCACAATCTTGGCTCACTGCAACCTCCACCTCCTGGATTCAAGTGATTCTCCTGCTTCAGCCTCCTGAGCAACTGGGATTAGAGGCACCTGCTACTACACCTGGCTAACTTTTATATTTTAAGTAGAGACAGGGTTTCACCATGTTGGCCAGGCTGGTCTCAAACTCCTGACCTCAGGTGATCCTTTCGCCTCGGCCTCCCAAAGTGCTGGGATTACAGGCATGAGCCTTCTGAGTAGCTGGGATTACAGGTGTCTGCCACCATGCCCAGCTAATATTTTTGTATTTTTAGTAAAGACAGGGTTTCACCATGTTGGCCAGGCTGGTCTTGAACTCCTGACCTTATGATCTGCCCGCCTCAGCCTCCCAAAGTGCTGGGATTTCAGGTATGAGCCACTGCGCCCTGCCAATTTTTGTATTTTTAGCAGAGACAGGGTTCGCCGTGTTGGCCAGGCTGGTCTCAAACTCCTGGCCTCAAGCTATCTGCCCGCCTCGGCCTCCCCAAAGTGCTGGTATTACAGGCATGAGCCACCTCATTGAATTCTTTCTGAATTCTTAAGCATCTAGAATCTGTTTGCTATCTTAGCCTGTCCACGTGAATATGTCTTTGATTGACTGGACCAGGTTCGTGTCGTTTCTTCTTGAGAGCTACTGCGAGCTCCTCACAGTCAAAGGCCCCTCCTGTGCTCCCTGATATGCCCTGTTCCCAAAGTGCTGTCCTCAGTGCTTTGAGTAGATCAGCAGATGGACAGAAAAGCCTCCAGGGCTTGACTGAACCATGGAAGCCATGGGGACGAGGACGCTGTGCCCTCTACAGGACGATTGCAAAAGTGGTGACCAAAAAGGTATTCTCAGTACAGACTGGGAAACTCTCCCACAAATCTGCACAGGATAAAGGAAAATGACAAAGGAGGCTGGGCTGGGTTCTTCCTTGCCTGCTGTCTGTCACCAGGCCTCCTCTGGGCACACTTACTGGGCTCACAGCCACATGAAGCATGGAGTAGAAGCCGGGCTTGAGCCAACTGCAGGCCACCCTGGGGGCCACAGAACTGTACACTCCCAGAGCTGGGAGAAAACTCATTTTGAAAGGGGGGGGTGCAGTCACAGGGCCCGGAGAAGTAAAACAACTCGCCCAGGATCACAGTACTGTCAGTGGCACCCTGGCACTTACTCTGACCATGTGACTTCTGAACCCTGATTCTGAGCCTCGTGGTCTGATGCAGGCAACTGAATCCGGTTATTTCTGAGCTTTTTCTTTGTCATTCCAGGCCTTATGAGCCAGTCAATCTTCTCTTCCTTCTCAGTTTTGTTCAGGGCTGAATAGGGTTTGAAAATCTGGAAGCACACATTTCATTTCCAGCTCCTCTCCCTGTTTTCCTCCCTCTCCCATCTGGGCTGAATTGAAGGCTCTAGGAGTGCACAGAGCCTCTGTCTGAGGTGGGATGGGCGGGGTTGCCCATCTCCCTGACTTGGGTCCCAGGGCTGGGCTTGTCTGTTCCTCGGCAGGGAAGGTGCTTGGCTCCGAGAGTGCTAACTCAGGCCTGCCGTCACTCCTTCCTGCTCCTGTGCAGCTCGCTGGCTCGGTGCTTCCTCAGAGATGCAGCTAAGTCCTTTCTCACCCTTTGGATGGCTTATTCCTTGTCCTTGAACTGGTGTGCTCATTTCCTCTGCTAGGCAGCCTCTCAGTAGCACCTTGGCTCTCTCTCCTAAGTACTTGCTGTGTCTCACTTGAGGGCCGTGGAAAACTTGGGAGACACAGCGACAAGCTCTGTAGTGCCTGGAAAGGCCATGGCTCCATTTCAACCATGCTATACCATGTGTGTGCATACGTGCACGTGTGCATGTGTGTGTGTGTGTGTGTGTGTGTGTGGCAGGGTCGAGGAAGTTGGTCAGCAGGTCCACCAGCTACAAAACTCCCAGACAGATGTGCAGGACTCAAGCCCACCCTTCTTTCATATCCCCCAAATGATAGGCAAACTGTGGGGCAGGTGATGAGTGCAATGACACAACCTCTTTCTCCCTCTGCTCTTTCCAGACCTATCTCTCTCCCAGCTCAGAGCCCTCATGGGGAGTGTGTGTGTGTGTGTGTGTGCACGCGCACGTGCATGCTGGGAGCGAAGGAGAGTTTGGGTGTGGGGAAAAGTAGCAGCCAGAAAAACCTGTTGTGTTTCCCACTTAAATTTCTCTTGTCTCATTCCAGGATAATAGAAGTCAAGTTCTGGCATCTGACTTAGGGGTGATCTCCATCCAGGAGGGAGGAATCAAGAAGCTTGTTGATGTCTCCAATTATTAATATTGATACAATTAAATCTTTTATGTGTCATTCAATCAAACAAAGGCTGCGCATCACAAATAAAAATAATGTGTTCTTTCTTCTGGATTTTACCTGAGATCAAAGCGTTAAGTTTAGGTCTGAGAATTTCTGGTTCTGCTGAGCTGATCAGGGAAGAGTGATGTGGGAAGTAAAACAGTTCCTTTTTAAAGTTTCCTTTCTTGTTAAAGAATATGCGTGCTAATAACTTTGTTAAGCCCTATCCTATGTAGCTGTTAAACATGCCATGCTTATAGGCACAGAGTACATTCTATGTCCTTCCACTTTAACCAAAATACCTGTGTTGGATGTGCTCACAGGCATGGCCCAGCTAGCTCTCCATTGCTTTTACCTGTTTAGAAAAGTTTTGTTAGCCAATCAGGTTTTAGTTTAGATTGTGGGGTCTGGCTCCAGCCCACAAAGATCAGAAGCAGCAGTCAGGACGACCCCAAATGCATAAGGAAGAAATTTGTCTATTTTCCTTTATTCATTGTACGCTCATGGCAAGATGGCTAGCAAGAGTACCTTTCCTGCATTCAAGGAGGTAAAAATTACGTTGCTGAAAGATCCTTTATTTCAGTGCCGATTTTTCTCTGTGACACCAAGCATCTATTTCCAACAAACGAGAACAGCCAGGCTGTCTGTTCTTCAAGCTGAAGGAAGAGGGCACTGAGACAATCTTCTCTTCCTTCCAAGTTTTGTTCAGGGCTGAATAGGGTTTGAAAATCTGGAAGAACAATGAGAGGATACCTCTTCTCCACAGAGGAGAAAAGGGCCGCTGGAGTTTGGAGCCTAATGATCTTACAAAGAAGGGAGCTGTTGCTGACTTAGGAGCTTGGGAGAAGCTTCTCAAATAAAAACAGGCCAGGCAGGCCTCCCTGCTGGGATATTTGATCTTTGCTCCAAGTGCAGTCAGACCTGTTTTGGGCTTGGCTAATCACTCTCACTCACTGAAGAGCTGAAAGGCTTATTGTTCAGGTGGCTGTAAAAGAACGCAGAGGCTGTGAAAAGTCCCACTGTTTAATATTTGAAAAGGTCATCTGTCTCAGGGTTAAAATGTAATCTAACAAATTTTTTAAAAATCCTTTTGTCCAAAGGCAAAAAAGAGAACATAAGGAGTAGAAATTGCTAAGCTGTGAAGAAACATCTCTGTATTTTACAGAGTCACTTTTCTGCTTGGGCATGGTTGATGATCAGCTATGGCCCTGTCCCCCTACCTCCCTCCAGAACACTGGAGTCTATTCACCATTCATTCACCTGGCCTCTGGAATGGGTTCTGAGGGCAGCCAGGTACAGCACCCAACAAGGCAACCTCAGAAGCTGCAAATGTCTTACACAGGTTTAAGTTGTCTGAAAAGAAGCTTTATGGCTTAGCTGAACTGGGGGCCTAGAAAGGGGGCAGGAGGGAGTCTATTTATTTTCTCACCTCATGTGAGATGACATCAACTGAAAATCAAATACCAAGAGAAACTCAGTTTGGAACCACATAAGGGCAGAGAAGGAATCCATTCATTTCTAGAAAGCTCTGCTCTACTTTTTTACTCGTCTCTTCCTGTTAGCAGGGCAACACCCTTCCCCATCCCAAAGGAAAGACTTGGTCACACTTGGTCAGAAAAGGCACGTCTCACAAAGGTCTGTGAGGCTGAACTCAGAGAGAAAGCAGGACATGCATATATGTGGGGAGGGGAGAGCAAGGACTTTGCTCTGGAGGTTACTGTCAATTACAACACAGGGAGAAGTCAAAGACAAGAGGAGTAGGACAGGTTGGAGCCACAGTTGACTGGGCCTTGAATGCCATGCTAAAAATTTGCAATTTATCCTTAAGCATGTTGCAATTTATCCCTAGGATAATTTTTACACCTTTTAAATTTAAATTTGAGACATTGTCTCAAAATAAAATCAATTATGTTTATGTTGCCCAGGCTTGTCTTGAACTCCTGGCCTCAAGCCATCCTCCTGCCTCAGTCTTCGGAATAGCTGGGACTTATAGGCACGCAGTACCGTGCCCAGCTTACAGCTTAAAAAATTATTAAGTCATAATTATTTAAGCATTATTAAGTAATTAATTTACTATTAAGTAGGAAAAATAATTACAGAAATACTAGAAACTAGAAATGAGCAATTTTAATCAAAACCCCAAACAGAACAAGCCGTAATCATATGACACAGGGTAACCACGAGAACATTTTGGGGAAAAATGGTCTATGTATGTATATTCATATATATTCAAACAAAAAAGAATAATGCTTTACACTGCTTTTTTTGCTTTGTTTTTGTTTTTGAGGTGGAGTCTGGCTTTGTTGCCCAGGCTGGATTGCAATGGTGTAGGCTTGGCTCACTGCAACCTCTGCCTCCCAGGTTCAAGCGATTCTCCTGCCTCAGCCTGCCGAGTAGCTGGGATTACAGGCATGCGCCACCACACCTGGTTAATTTTTTAATTTTTAATAGAGATGGGGTTTTACCATGTTTGTCAGGCTGGTCTTAAACTCCTGACCTCAAGCAATCCACCTGCCTCGGCCTCCCAAAGTGCTGGGATTACAGGTGTGAGCAACCGCACCCGGCCTACACCCGGTTTGATGACCCGATTTTTTGTCATTAAACGTTATAAAGTAGATTTATTCACATGTTATTTTCCTACATAGTTATTTCAGCTTTTCCTGACGTAACATTCCTGAGGAGTTGACACCTCTCATGAGTAACAAGGATTGAAAAAGGGGTGATATTTAAAAATGAGACACTCCCCTTTAATTAATAAATATATATACAGGGTCTCACTCTGTCACCCAGGCTGGAGTGCAGTGGTACAATCATGGTTCACTGCATCCCTGACCTCTCGAGTTCAAGGGATCATCACCCCTCAGTCCACCAGTAACTTGGACTACACATTCATACTACCATTCCCAGCTGCTTTAAAATTTTTTGCGGCAATGATACCTTACTATATTCCCCAGGCTGGTCTTGAATTCCTGGGCTCAAGCAATCCTCCTGCCTTAGTTTCTCAAAGTGCTGGGATTACAGATGTGAGCCACCACACCCAGCCAGTACTCACCTTTTGACTTACTAGTCTATATATTAATTTAGATGTTTGGGCTGTATTTCATTTAAGTCCTTATGGGACTATTTCAACTGCTTTTAATGCTACACACTTGCCAATAATCCTTCAGTAAACATATAGGAATTTATAATTCTGTACACTGTTAAAAGAAAAACTTCAGCAGAATTAAACTTAAAAGAGTTTAATTGAGCAATGAAGGATTCATGAATAGGGCAGCTCCCAGAATCACAGCCGATTCAGAGAGATTCCAGTACAGCCAAGTGGTGGAAGAAGATTTTTAGACAATAAAAGGGAAATGACGTACAGAAATGGGAAGTGAGGTACAGAAATAGCTGGTCTGGTTACAGGCTGGTGTTTGTTTTATTTGAACAGTTTGAACACTTAGCAGTCTATGAGTCGTTGAAGTGTGGCCACTGGGATTGGCCAAGACTCAGCTATTGTTACAAGCACACGAGCTTCTGAATTAGGTTTTCAGTCTTGTCTGCCTATGTTTTTTTTTTTTTTGGAGATAGAGTTTCGCTCTTGTTGTCCAGCCTGGAGTGCAACGGTGTAATCTCAGCTCACTGCAACCTCCACCTCCCGGGTTCAAGTGATTCTCCTACCTCAGCCTCCCAAGTAGCTGGGATTACAGGCATCTGCCACCAGGCTTGGCTAATTTTTTGTATTTTTAGTAGAGATGGGGTTTCTCCATGTCGGTCAGGCTGGTGTTGAACTCCAGACCTCAGGTGATCAGCCTGCCTCAGCCTCACAAAGTGCTGGGATTATATGCGTGAGCCACCATGCCTGGCCAAAACTTTTCTTTTTTCTTTTGAGACAAGTCTCACTCTGTTGCCCAGGCTGGAGCAATTAAGCTAGATTACAATACATCAGCAAGGACTCAAATACAGAAGTCTGGAGTCCTCCTCGGGCCATATTTACTTTGCTTTAGCAATTCCCTCCTTTTGGTCATTTTTCAAATTTAAGAGATTGACTAAAACTTCAGTCCTTGATGTAACTATCACCATCGTAAATGTATTTATTTGATTTTGAAACCCACTGGGAAACAGCAGAACAGTGAGTTTTGCAAAGGTAGGAACAAGGACTGAGTAGAGGTTACCTCCTTATGTTGGAAGGTCCTTTTATGGAAGAAAAACAAAATCTGTTCTGTTCTGGTCTAGGGTTTATGTGTTTCCTTAAAGTCTTAGTTTGATTATGTCACATTTAGCATGAGTGACTCCATTTTTGTTTGGTTTGGTCTGCTGGGGCCTAGTATGTGAGTTTCAGTCCAAAACAATGGCCTCCCATAATTGTGTTTAAAAATCCTCCCTTTTTGGTCGGGTTCTCATTTAGGTGAGAGTGTGACCACAATTCAGGGCCTTAGTGTCACTCTCAGTTACTACCATTTTGCATTTCTGATCTCAGTATGTCATTCATAGGTTATGGTGTCCTCATGGCCATATATTGCTTTCAGTTTTTGTCATTCCAGTTGTAGAGAGACTATTTGACACTTTAGAGATGGCTGTATGTAAACATTTAAAATCTTTGAGAGAATACAGTGTGCCAGGGAGACTATTATTATGACTATTGGGAGGATAATACCAAGAGTTTGGAGTATGTTCTTTATTCAGTGTCTCTACAAATAAAACCAGCTAAAATCAAATAGATCAAAGAATGAGTTATCATGAAGAGTCTACTCGCCTAGGTGAGTGCTCTTTTCATTAATTCCCTACAACTGAATTTTGATAATTTACATTTGATGTATTTCTCTATAGGCCACAAGTGCCAGTAGCTGTATAGATACTTTTCTGTTTAGTCAATTCTACAAGTTAGTATAACTTTTCAAGAGAGTTTAAAGTCTGTTGGGTAACTATAGTCTTTACAGTAGAGCCCATTATAGAGCCTATCTTGAGGGATACATTTCTAATTATTGTTCCTTTTATTCTAAACTGTGGAAAAAGGACCTAACAAATGATGTATTTTTAGAAGAGTGAAGTCCTCTTGGCAATGTTATCTCTATGATGTGGATTAAGAGGAGTGAATCAATGTTCTGTTTCTGACTGATTATGAGGCAATGTATGTACCATTGAAGTTTTTCACCTACCTTGGGACTTTCTCTTTTATCTATCAAGGTTATTCATGCATATGACTGGCTATAAAATTATTTACAAATAAAAATATACTCCATAAGTATAATGGACCCTCTTTTCATTTCTCATTTCTCATGCCTCTATAAACAATGTGAAATTGTTTATAGAGGCATAAACAAGGAAAAAGTATTCAAAGATAAGTCTCATGATAGTAGAATTCTTTTATTTTTATTTTTATTATTTTTTTTTGAGACAGAGTTTCGCTTTTGTTACCCAGGCTGGAGTGCAATGGCACAATCTTGGCTCACTGCAACCTCTGCTTCCTGGGTTCAGGCAATTCTCCTGCCTCAGCCTCCTGAGTAGCTGGGATTACAGGCACGCACCACCATGCCCAGCTAATTTATTGTATTTTTAGTAGAGACCATGTTGACCAGGATGGTCTCGATCTCTTGACCTCGTGATCCACCCACCTTGGCCTCCCAAAGTGCTGGGATTACAGGCTTCAGTCACCACGCCAGGCCTGATAGTAGAATTCTTGATCCGTGATTCTTGGGAAAAGTTCACATCAAGAATTTCCTCTTTTTGGGGGGAGAAATTTTCCTGGTTAGTTTTACCTTCAGGGTTCTAATGGGTGGACAGTTCCAAGAGTGTGGAGGGACTCTTCTCAGTTGTGAGATTATAAACTCAAAGTTCAAGGTCTCGAAGTTTTGTTGCAGTGTGGATGGTATCAACGAAAAGAGTCTAACTCTGTAAAATATTTGAAGAGATTTATTCTGAGCCAAATATGAGTGACCATGGCCCATGACACAGCCCTCAGGAGATCCTGAGAACATGTGCTCAAAATGGTAGGGGCACAGCTTGGTTTCATACATTTTAGGGAGGCATGAGCCATCAGTTGAATACATTTAAGAAATACATTGGTTTGAACCACAAAGGTGGGACAACACAAAGCAGAGGCTTCCAGGATACAGGTAAATTTAAACATTTTCTGGTTAATAATTGGTTGAGTTTATCTAAAGACCTGATTCAATAGAAAATAAATATTCAGGTTGAGCTAAAAGATTGTGGAGACCAAGGTTCTTTTAAAGTCTTTTTTTTTTTTTTTGAGACTCATACAATATTTTGATTGTCTTCCTTGTCTTGTAATGTAATGCCAGAGTCAGGTTGGAAAGTAAGTCATGATATCTAGGGTTAAGAAAACCCATCTGATGAGAATTTATGGTTTGTAGGACATGAATCCCAAGACTCCTTGGACAGGAATTTGGGCAAGACTAAAAAATCAGAGCTTAGTTCTTAATGGCAAGGAGAGTCTTTGATATTCTCAGAAGATTCAATCTTTGGGTTCTAGCTTGTGAAGGAGTTGATTGTCCTCAGTGAACCATAGAAAGTTTTCTTTACCTGGTAAAAATATACTGTGGCATAACTTAATGTTGTAACATCAATCCTTCTACATGGGAAAGCTTTTCTATAACCAGAAAACATGTATTGAAAACGACAATTGAATGAAATCCATTTATAAATGCTTAAGTGACCCATCAAATAGTCAAATGTACCTGAAGCTTTTATTGTCTTCACAGGAATATGGGTTTGACAAACTAAACATTGGTTATAAACTATTTTAGCATTTATAGTTTACCACACCAATATATTTAATTTGGATTATTTTATCTTTTCCATGATGAGTCATGGAATGTATAACTTCTAGTAAAAAAAAGTTTTAAGAACCAGGAGAGACAAGGTGGGCTTCCTGGTTCTCCATGTGTCCATGTTTAATTAATATTACACTTAGGTCTTCTTGAATACCAGTTGTTTTTCTAAATTAGGTGTATAGTACTGATAACTGATGGGTTATCATAGGTAATTTGGCTTAGACCATGGAGTTTATTTAATTGTATATTTAAATAATTTCAGTATCAGTTGAATTACCATGAAAATCTGGCAAAGTATTTTCTTGGTATTCAATTAATTTTTGTTTATTCAGGTGACTAGTTTTATAAACCAGTCAGTCTTTTCATTAAAGTTTCAGTAATTCTTACCCAGTTTAAATATGATTCTAAAGTTATTAGAAACCTGTATTTAAGAGTGTTTTTTAGCATCCTTTTTATCTTTTCATGAATCTCCTAAGAGATACCATATTCTAGGATTTCATGTGTTTATTAAGTTTTAAGAAACTGCATCAGTATTAAGCAATTAACTGTGGAAATGACTTTAAATAGTTATAGTTAAAGACACAATTGACAAGGAAATTTGGTTATTTCTGTGATCTGTGATAACATAATAATTGAAATGATTGATAGCATATACTCCGACACCTTATAATTTTAGAAATCCTATACAATTTTGGAACATATATTACTATTGTTCACTAAAATATAACCTGAAGAAGGTTAAACATTATTTTTATTTTGATAATATTTAACTTAATTTGTTAAATAATCCCATTTACCTTTCTTTTGGATATCTCAGGGGCCCTCTGTAGTATTCCAATGTTAGAGGTTAGAAAAGAGAATTTTGAAGCTAAGATTTGATTTGAGGAAGTCTATTAAATGTGTTAAAGGTTTAAAACACTTGATATTGGCCAGGTGCAGTGGCTTACGCCTGTAATCCCAGCACTTTGGGAGGCTGACGTGAGTGGATCATGAAGTCAGGAGACCAGCCTGGCCAAGATGCAGAAACCCCATCTCTACTAAAAACACAAAAAAATTTAGCAAGATGGTAGCAGATGCCTATAGTCCCAGCTACTCGGGATGCTGAGGCAGAGAATCTCTTGAACCCAAGAGGCGGAGGTTGCAGTGAGCTGAGATAGTGCCACTGCACTCCTGCCCAGCAACAGAGCAAGATTCTATCTAAAAAAATAAATAAATAAATAAATAAAACACTTGATATTAGGCTTAACCAGTTTGACCATGAAGTGAGATTTTTATAAACCTTTATAATCCTTTACAATTTTTCTGAAAACATAGATCAGGTTTTTTTTGTTGTTGGTGGTGGTTGGTTGTTTTTTTTGAGTCGGAGTTTTGCTCTTATTGCCCAGGCTGGAGTGCAATGGTGCGATCTCAGCTCACTGCAAACTCCACCTTCTGGATTCAAGCAATTCTCCTGCCTCATCCTCCCAAGTAGCTGGGATACAGGCACCTGCCACCACACCAAACCATGTTGGTCAGGCTTGTCTTAAACTCCCAACCTCAGGTGATCCAACCGCCTTGGCCTCCCAAAGTGCCGTGATTACAGGCATAAGCCACCATGCCCAGTCAAGTAGATCAGGTTTTTTTTTTTAATCCTGTTGTGTGTGTGGTTTGTTTTTCTTTAAGATGGGGTTTCACCATGTTGGTCAGGCTGGCCTTGAACTCCTGACCTCAGCTGATCCGCCCACCTTGGCCTCCAAAGTGCTTAGATTACAGGCATGAACCACCACACCAAGCCCCCTGTTATGTTTTTATTTAGATGTTGAATTTATGGAAAACCGAATAATAATCCTTTAATTTTTGTCAATATGTTCACACAGAGAATTTTTTTTAAAAGATTAATTTTTCCAAACCTTTCACAATTTGTCCCAACTTTTAGATTTATCTTATCTAATTAAAAAATTATCAGCCAGGCGTGGTGGCTCACGCCTGTAATCCCAGCACTTTGGGACACTGAGGCGGGTGGATCACGACGTCAAGAGATCGAGACCATCCTGGTCAACATGGTGAAACACCGTCTCTACTAAAAAAAAAATACAAAAAATTAGCTGGGCATGGTGGCGCGTGCCTGTAATCCCAGCTACTTAGGAGGCTGAGGCAGAAGAATTGCCTGAACCCAGGAGGCAGAGGTTGCGGTGAGCCAAGATCACGCCATTGCACTCCAGCCTGGGTAACAAGAGTGAAACTCCATCTCAAAAAAAAAAAAATTTTTCTCTCATCTTTTAAATTGGGCAAAAATTTACATTCTCATGCCCTTTTATAATCTTTTACCATAAAACTATTTCTTCAGCAGTCTCAATTACATGTTTTAATGGCAACTCTTAACAACTTTTACTTTGGGTGCATAAATTTCCTTTCATGAATTTTTTCATAACTTACACAGACCATCTATGACGTGTTTGGACTTTGACTTGTCCTGAACATCTCTATTTTTGAATAACCATTATTTTTATTTTAGGACAATAATTTATTATACAAGTCTTTCTTATATAAAATCTCTTTTCTGTATAACCTTCTTTGTATACTTAGGGTGTATGGTTAATTCCACATGTTTCCAGGCCTTATGTAGAATCTAATGCTCCAAAATAAATAGAACAATTTTTAAAAGTCAAAGAAGCAGTTTATGACCTTAAAGCATTTAGTAAACCTAATATCCAACCTGTATAATTTAGACCAAATGTTTTTATCTTATCAATTATCTTTAAAGCTGTTTTTATTTTCCAAAGAGCACTAAATTTACATGAACTAAAAGATATTATAGTTTTTATTTTTTAATATTTGATTTAAGCACTTATTTTTCTTTAAGACAATTAATTAGAGCTCTTTTATATAAACATTATACACCCAATACATATATATCTACACAGACAGAAGATGACTAAGTAGCTGTAAGATTTTTCATTATGTTTTTAAGTTTCTTAATTGGATTACTGGCTTTTGGATAGAGTTCTTAGAAGAAATGGCTAGGAAGGCATGTCGTTTATAGGTCCTAAAAAGTAGGCACAGATGAAGGGCAAAAACAAATCCCCAAAATTACGGGTCTCTCTTTTTTTTTTTTTTGAGATGGAGCCTCACTCTGTCACCTGGGCTGGAGTGCAGTGGGGTGATCTTGGCTCACTGCAACCTCTGTCTCCCAACTTCAAGCAATTCTCCTGCCTCAGCCTCCCAAGTAGCTGGGATTACAGGCACCTGCCACTATGCCCAGCTAATTTAAAAAAAAATTTTTTTTTTGAGATAGAATCTTGCTCTATTACCCAGGCTGGAGTGAAATGGCAGGATCTTGGCTCACTGCAACCTCCACCTAGTGGGTACAAGCAATTCTCCTGCCTCAGCCTCCCAAGTAGAGGTTTTTAGTCTCTACTAAAAAAGTACAAAAATTAGCTGGACATGGTGTTTCATTATGTTGGCCAGGCTG